GACCGGCCTTGGCCTCAGAGAGGACTCCCCTAGTTCCTCCCGGGCCAACCCCGAACCCCCTAAAAATTTAGAAAAGCACCCCTCTAAGAAGACCCGTAGTCTTTTTCTTCTTAGGTCCCTCTGTGCTGAGTGCCACCTCTCTGGGTTCCAGATCCCTTCATCGAGGCCGGCCCTTAGAATAAATTTAGGCCATACCTGCTCTTTTATGACTCATAGACTTCAACTCCCAGAATTCCTGAGCCAGCATAGCATAGTATAGCATAGCTGGCTCAGGAATTCTGGGAGTTGAAGTCCATGAGTCATAAAAGAAGGCAAGGTTGTCTACCCCTGGTATAGGTTCTCCTGCTTGAGCAGGGGGCTGGACTAGAAGACCTCCAAGGTCCCTTCCAGTTCTATTCTATTCTATTCTATTCTATTCTATTCTATTCTATTCTATTCTGAAATAAACCTACGTTTGGTTATCAATGACAGACAGTCGCAGATACAGAACGTGTATTAGACACATTAGAAAACTACAACATTACATTACTTTTCGACATAATCGCTACTGAAATTGAGGCACTTCTCATAACGTCTCACAAGGTTTGAAATTCCTTCTGCCCCCCCCCCAAAAAAAAATCTCCCGCCTGGGAATGAAGCCACCCTGTAACAGCATCGTGAAGCGCATTGTCATCGTCAAAGCGGTGTGACCCAAGGCACTGTTTCATTTTAAAAACTGGTTCATTTTCAACTTATCTAGCAGACAAGTCAACTGCAGCTGTGATTGCCTTTCTTCCACCCCTCCTCTCCCCTCCCTTTGGATGGGTGGAGCAATACCTTGACAGTGACTGAGGAAGACCCTTGAGCCACGTTGATTCTGTAGCTCACGATTCCCTGCTTATTGGTATTCATCTGTTGATCCGTGGGAGATGCTGCCCCGGTTATGTGGGTTCTGAAGTGGACTGGGAGGTTGGGGGCTGGTGAGCCATCCGGCAGGGTGATTCGAGCCTAGAGGAAGTGGAAGAAAACCCGGACAGTTTTTATTAATAATGATAAATACTCTGATGTTTTAGAATTCAAACAAATACCTGCCACATACTAGGTACTGAGGATAAAATGATTAAAAAGCTATATCAGTGGTGGCGAACCTATGGCACGGGTGCCAGAGGTGGCACTCAGAGTCCTCTCTGTGGGCACGTGCGCCGTAACCCCAGTCCTAGGCCTTCAGCTGGGTTTTATAAAACTTTTTCGCTTTAGACCTCCGCCGCTGTGTGCAAAAAAACCCCAAAAAAGGTTCAATCGGTCAATTTCAACTTCTCGCAGGAAAAAAAAAGATCTTGCAAAGTTGGAATTGATTGATTGAACTTTTTAGTACCACCCATGCCCACCCAATGGGCCACGCCCACTCAGCACTCGATGATGCATAAGTGGGTTTTGGGTTGCAGTTTGGGCACTCGGTCTCTAAAAGGTTCGCCATCACTGATCTATATCATTATTTGTTAGATCAGGCAATGTATGAAGAACAGGTAAAAGAAACCATGTTAATGTGGAGCAGGAATTTTGATCTCAACTTTGATCTGCATATCTGGCAAGAACTATGGGTACAAAATAGGAAGCTTACTTTGGTCACCCCCTACAAAGAAAACCTCTACAAAATGTTCTACAGATGGCATCTCCCACCCACAAGATTAGCTAAAATGGGTCCAAATATTTCTTCCACGTGCTGGAAATGTAAATTGGCAAGAGGGACATATTACCACATGTGGTGGGAGTGCTCAAAAGCCCGTGACTTTTGGAACAAGGTTAAAAAATGGCTGGAAGAAATACTAAT